TTCCTGTTTCAGCACCAGATTTTACTAAGGACTGGGCTAGGGCCAGGGAGAGAGGCCAAAGGGCTGAGCACATGCTTGGTGTGGGGGAGGCCAGAGTCGATCTCCAGCCCCTCAAATAGTCTCCTGGTCACCACCTGGAGCAACTCCCAAGCACACAGCTGGGAGCTGCCTGTGAGCACTGCTGGATGTGTGTCCCTCCGCCCCCCCGTCTCCCCCCCAAAAAAAAACAGCATGGAGAAAAAAAATATCAATAAGGGGGCTGAAGAGACAGCTCAATGGGCTGGGCATGAGCTTTGCAGACAGAGGGCCTGGGTTTGCTCTCCAGCACTGCACAGTCCCTCAAGTACTTCCAAGAGTAGTCTCAGCATTGCCCAGTGAGGCCCAAAGTAATGTTGGATTATGGCAATAAGGAAGGGCAGGGGCTGGAGCGATAGCACAGTGGGGAGGGCATTTGCCCTGCATGCGGCCAACCTGGGTTCGATCCCCGGCATCCCATATGTTCCCCCAACCACTGCCAGGAGTAATTCCTGAGTGCAGAGCGAGGAGTAACCCCTGAGCATTGCTGGGTGTAACCTAAAAAGCCAAAATAAAAAAAGGAAGGGGAACCCCTGCCTCAGGAGGCCCAGCTCCGAGAGGCCAGTGCTGTGGGTCAACATGAGACAGTCCTCCCACAGGCGACTCAAGGCAAGGGCAGTGCATGGAATCAGGGAGCAGCCAGGGCTCAAGGGCCCACCTCATTCGGGAAATGCCACAAGGGAAAGAGCCACTCAGATGCCCTCTGACACCAGATATTTCAACCTAATGAAAGAATAGAGATGAGGCTGGCTTCTCCCTTGAACACATGTCTCTTCTGCTTGTCTGTGCGTTTCTTTGCTTGCTGGAGAAGCCTGGGTTCTCTCTCGAACAAACACTTCTCCCTTTCCCATCTATCTAAAAAAGTTTCATTAAAAACTATCTTGGGGCTGGAGTAGGGCCCTTGCCTTGCACGCGGCCAACCCAGGTTCTATTCCCAGCATCCCATATGCTCCCACAAGCACCACCAGGAGTAATTCCTGAGTGCAAAGCCAGCAGGAACCCCTGTGCATCGCCGGGTGTGACCAAAAAGAAGAAAAGAAAAGAAAAAGCAATGACAGCAAAGGGGAAGCAAGAGGGAAAACTCCAGACAAACCAACAAACGGTTTTCTTACCCTACAACCTCTCAACTTTCTGGCTGGGAGTTCTCATTTCTATTTCCCCAACACACCCACCACCGACCTCCTCGGTGCCCCTCGGAGCTACTGCCCTGCACTCAGCTAACTGCCTTTTTAGCAACTCCAGCTCTCAGCACCGTCTCCTGGCCCCCTCTGATGGCCCTGACATCTCTTACCCCCCCCCACAATTCCCAAGAGACACCCGCTCGGCACACAACTCGAACCACGCGCCTCTCGCCCACATACGAGCTGAGCTTCCGAGCTGGTACAGGACCTCCAATACACCCACCCAACGCTCACCCCGCCGCCAGGGACGCCCCCTCCCTCCAGTGCCTCCTGCAGACCCCGCCAGCCCCTGCTGAAGGCCGCGTGCCCAGTAGGTGGCGCTGTTTCCCAGGGAACACGCCTGGGCGCGGTGGGGGTGGGGGTGGTGTGGGGTGCGGTGTGTGGGGAAGGGAGGAAGGGGCCAAGGGACCTCCCGGACCAGAATGTACGGACAGAGATGGCACCAAAGGCCCTCTGGTCCTGGGCCCCCAACCTGGCAGAACAGCGCAAATCTCAAGCCTCTTATTCCTCAGCTCTGCGCAAGAGCAGAAAGTGGCCCGGTCCTGCCCAGCCAACTAAGGGGGAGCAGATGAGAAGTTGTGAAACTAGGCTGGACCCCAGGCTGAGCATCCTAGGTGCCCTTGGCCTTCTGGCACACAGATGAATGATGGCTCCTGTGCCACGTTTCTGATGGTGGCTTGGAGACACAGCACAGAGGTCAGGTCGTTCCCCTGGAATGCAGCTGACCCGGGCCAATCCCTAGCATCCCACATCCAGAAACAGAAGCTGTTGGGGGCCGAAGCGATAGTACAGCAGGCAGGGTGTTTGCCTTGCACCGTGGCTGACCCAGGTTCCATCCTTGGCATCCCATATGGTCCCCCGAGCACCGCCAGGAGTGATTCCTGAGTGCAGAGCCAGGAGTAACCCCTGAGCATCACCAGGTGTGACCCAAAAAGCAAAAACATAAGCGAACAAACAAACTCAGGAGTTGTGGTACCCATGCACAGTAGAACACTAGAAGGTTTCAGAACAAAATCATCAGGTACAGAGGCTATACTGGGGGAAGTCAGTCAGAAGGACAGGGATGAGCGCTCTCTCTCACGTGTGAGGCGTACAGATACACCACGAGGCAGCACAAAGACCAAAGGCAACATCACAGAAGAACTGAAGAGCAAGATTGAGCTGGGGGCAAAAGGTGAAAGGGAGAAAAGCATTGGGGTCCTTGGGGGAGGAAGGTGGGCACACTGGTTAAGGATGTGGCATTGGGATTATTGTAGATCTCAACCTCAATCTACAAAGGTTTTAAAAAACAACAAATGGGAGCCAGAGAGAAAGAGAGCACAACCGTTAAGAGCTTACCTTATACACATCCAATCTGGATTTGATCCCCAGCACTCCATTTGGTACCCCACGCCTGCCAGGAGTAAGCCCTGAGCAGTATAGGTATGATCCAAAAACAAAATGATAAATAAAATGATAAATAAAATAGAGTAAAGAAGACTGAAGTCCAGTGGAATAGTGGAGATACTAGAATCCCTCCCTTGCAAGCATGTGGTCTTGAGTTTGGGTCCCCGGTGTCCCACATGTGCTAAGCATGGTCCTGGCAGGCCTCCTAGTTGAGGCTGGCAGCTCTGCTGTCCCAGAACTGTGCCTGACTACTGGCCATACTGCAGGCCACACTGCTGCACCAAAAGGGGTGTGGTTTGAGCTGGAGCAATAGCACAGTGGGCAGGGCATTTGCCTTGCATGCAGCCGACCCGGTTTCGAGCCCCGGCATCCCATATGGTCCTCCAAGCAATGCCAGGAGTAATTCCTGAGCATCGCCGGGTGTGACCCCCCCAAAAAAAAAGCCAAAAAAAAAGGGTGCATTCCTGGTGAGCACCAGGAAAATGATGTGTGAGTGCCAGGATGTGACGCCTCGGGAGCACTGTGAGAGCATCACAGTGACCTGACCAGACCACAACTATAACTTGTGACTGCCACTAAGAGTGGGAGCCCCTGTGAGCACCACAACCCAGTGTGTGAGCCCCTGCAAGCACCACAGGCAGGTGTGTGTGCAGCCCCTGTCATGGGACAATGTTCACAACAATGAGAAAGGGCCAGAGCAATGGTTCGGTGGGTGCAGCACTTGCCTTGCCCACGAGGGACCTGGGTTGATCCCTGGCACCCCATATGGTCCCTTCGGCCCACCAGGAGTGATCCCTGAGTGCAGAGCCAGGAGTAAGCTCTGAGCACCGCTAGAAGTCACCCCAAACTTCCCCCCATACACACACCAAACAAACACACACATACACACACACAGAGGAGGAAAAAAACAGGATGTAGGCTGGAAGCTATGCTTGGGAGCACTCTTGGCTCAGTGCTCAGGAATTCATACTGGTTGGAGGCGTTGCTCCACTCCTGAGGTCTCTATTATCATCACTATTACTACTATCATTTTTTTAATTTATTTGTTTTTTGCTTTTTGGGTCACACCCGGCAATGCACAGGGGTTCCTCCTGGCTCTGAACTCAGGAATTACTCCTGGAAGTTCTCAGGGCACCACATGAGATTCTGGGAATCGAACCCGGTCGGCTGCGGGCAAGGCAAACACCCTACCCTCTGTGCTATCATTCCAGCCCCTACTACTACCATTTTTGCCCCAAGGACCGTGTTCAGAGGTTCATGTCCCCCTTCCCACATCTAGAGAGAGCTCCACGAGCTAGAGCACATGCTTTGCACTGAGGACCAGGTTCACCCCCACATCACCTGGTCCCCTGAGCACCGCCAGGAATGAGCTCGAAGCACAAAGCTGGGAGTAGAGCCCCCAAGCATCGGCAGCGGCGCGCGGCTGCCTGATAACATAAATAACACACACGACGCAGAATGCACACGTTTTTCTTTTCTTTTTTAATAGGTGGTTGAGTTGAGAAGCAAGAGGGGGTCTTCCTGGTGCCAGAAATAAAGGAGGAAACTGAAGAAAGCTACAAGGTTACACAGGCCCTGGGGGGACGCAGGAGGACCCCCGAGACACAGGTTTTTCACCCACCCAAGATCAGACCAAGGGCCGCGGACCCTGGCAGTGGGGAGCTGAGGGCGAGCACAGAGCTGGGGGGTGGGGGGGGGCGGGGAAGGGGCGCAGAGCCAAGGCACACTTCACCGCAGGCCCTGCAGGGCAGCTGGAGGCGAACCACCCCCAGGGGCTGGCCAGGGCCGGTGGTGCAGAGGGCTGGAGCGCAGGCTTTGCACCAGGGAGCCCCAGTTTTGATCCCCAGAACTGCACGCTCCCTCAGACACCGCCAGCCCCCTCCCCCCCAGGCTTCCCCACATAAAGTCAGGAGGGAGGAGAGTCCTCACAAAGGACAGTGAGGCTGGACTCGGGCCAAACTCTGTGCAAGAACTGCCTCGGAGAATCTTGTGAATTAAAAGCTCCCCAAACCCGTGGAACCTGTAAGACGGGCTGGCAGCCCAAGCCCGCCCCACGGGTATCTGTGGGCCTCACAGGCAGGAGAAACAGTCCCGGGTTCTTCCCTGATGACACTGCCAAGGGGACGTTTCCCCTGGTCCTCTGTGCGCCTCCTCCTCACCCTGGTACAGTGGGGTCTGTGTTGGGAAGAACTCAGGGAAATTTGGGTTACTCTTTTTTTTTTCTTTTCCTCTTTTTTTGGTTTTTGGGCCACATCCAGGGCTGCTCAGGGGTCACTCCTGAAGGTACTCAGGGGACCCCGTGGCAGTGAGGATTGAACTCGGGCCTCCAGCCTGCTCGGCGTACTGCTTATCTCCGGACGGCAAGGCTCCGTGAGGAAGGGAAGACTCCTCCGAGCTCGTCTCCTCAGCCGTGTGGTGAACCTTCAAGCTGCTGGAAGATCAAAGGAGACACACCTGAGCTACAGGATAATGCCCAGATCATGCTCGCAAAGAACCTAGGGCCGCAGGATAAAGCCCAGATAATGCCTGCAGAGAACTGAGTCCCGGTATGAGTCAGCTTTAAAGGCCCAGAGCTCAAAGAAGAAAGCACCTACAACAGAAATAGACATGACAGGGGCCTGGGTGGGGCTCCCACTGGGAACGCGTGGGTTCAACCCACAGCACAGACATCACAGAAAGAACAGGACGTTATGAAAAAAGAACTGGCACCTTAACAGCACCACCAGGGGGATCTCTCCCCATCCCCCAGTGGCTCCAAAGAAAAGGAACTCTAAATGTCAAACACAGACACTGAAAATGACTAGGCAGTCTAATAGGGGGTGTCAATATTTGGGGGGAGGGCAAGGGCAGGCGAGGGATTGAGGTTTCACACAAGCAAGGTTCATGCTCTCCCACTAAGGCACAGCCCTGAGTCCACTGAAATGTTTTTTGATAGATTTGTTTGCTTGGTTTTTTATTTCCTGGGGGAGCAGGTCAGAGTTCAGTCACACGCAGTGGTGTCCAGGGGCCGTGGTCAATCCCGGTGGATGATGCGGTGTAAGAGTTGGCACCCAGGCCTCCAGCATATTCGACATATGCACTCGCCATCTGAACCAGCTCCCCAGCCCCAGGGGAATGTCCTCAGTGGGAGAGGAAGAGGCACGGGGCTCTCAAGGGGTAGGCCAAGGGGCCAGGAGTCCAGGCAGAAGACTGCAGCAAAGGGGCCAGAACGAAGGCACAGTGAGTGGGGGCGCTGACCCGGGCTTGAGCCCCAGCACCCCATAAGGTCCCTGGACACTGCCAGGAGTGATTCCTGAGTGCAGAGCCAGGAACAACCCCTGGACATTGCCAGGTGTGACCCAAACAAAAAGGAAACCAGACACCAAGATCAGCCACTGAGGCAGGAATTTGGGGGTGGCAATTCTCGCCATCCCACCTTTGCTTGGCAAGTCTCCATCCAGGCTTCTCTAAACAAATGGGGGGCACACTGAGAGCTGGGTGGGCAGCGGCCTCAGCCACAGCCTCTGTCTGGAGGTTTCAAGCAGTGAAACCACACTGCTTGGCCTGACAAAACCACCGAGGGCCGGGGCTGTAGCTCAGTAGCAGAGCACTTATGAGGGCCCAGGTTCAATCTCTGCAAGCACACACACACACACACACACACACACACACACACACACCACACCACACACGCAACACACACAACACATACAGACACACACAACACATGAAACATACACATGCAACACACATACAGACACAGTATACTCACCACACATACAACACACACACACACACACACATACACATGCAGACAATCCTTTAAAACACTGGAATTGGGGCTGGAGCAATAGTACAGCGGGTAGGGCATTTGCCTTGCAGCCGACCCAGGTTTAATCCCCGACATCCTATATGCTCCCCCAAGCACCTCCAGGAGTAATTCCTGAGTACAGAGTCAGGAGTAACCCCTGAGCATCGCTGGGTGTGGCCCAAAAAGCCAAAAAGAAAAAATAAAATAAAGTAAAATAAATTAAGTCGTGATTAAACTTTAAAAAATAAAATAGGGGTCTGGAGCGATAGCACAATGGGTAGGGTGTTTGCCTTGCACGCGACCGACCCTGGTTCAATTCCCAGCATCCCATATGGTCCCCCGAGCACCGCCAGGAGAAATTCCTGAGTGAAGAGCCAGGAGTAAGCCCTGTGCATCGCTGGGTGTGACCCAGAAAATCAATAAATAAATAAGTAAAAAAATAAAATAAAGTCACTGGAATTATGGGGCCAGGAAGTAGCTCAAAGGGCTTGGTGTACGGTTTCATGGGCAAAAGTTTTACGTGCCAGAGATCCAGGCTTGATCCCTATCACCTCTGGAGTCACCCTTGAGCACAGGGCCAGGATTAAGGCCCGAGCACTCCAGGTTTGGCCCCAAAGAGAAAACCAACAAACAGACTGCGCATGGGAAGGGAGAGCGTCAGGCCCGAGTCCAGGCCTGAGACATTCAGGTCCTGCCCCCAGAACTCTACTAGGCAAGCAGAGAACACGTTATTTCACCTTCCTGCCTCTGTCTCAGCCTAGTGGAGGCTTGCTTGGGAAGAGAAAATGAGCAGATACAACTACATAAAATATATCAAATGCTTTCACACCCCATGACTCAAAGACACCCCCCAACCTGTGAGGCCGTTCCAAGCAGGGTTACACGCAGCAACTCCTCCTGTGCTGTGTGGAGGGCACTCACTCACCTTGCATGCAGCAGAGCTGGTTTTAATTCCTGACACCCTACCTGAACCCCAAATCTTGCTAGGAGAGATCCCTGAGCACTGTCAGGTCTGGCCCCAAACTACCCAGCAAACAGCAGCTCCTCCGTAAAAGCTACACCTGCCAATGTGGGCCACGCCTGCCTCACCGGGCGCCCGCCCCACGGCGGGATGAACAAGGACAGACAATCAGCCAACCAGCAGATAACCTTGGGATACCCAAGGCTGCTCTCTCCGCCCCTGTGTCTGAGGGGGATGGAGAGCCCCATCCCCACATTTTCTTCCCCTCCCACACAGGGTGTGGCCTCCCGTGATGAAAACTCACTGAGTTCACCTGGACAATGCCAAGGGGTGGACGCTTCCATGTGCACGCACGTACACACACACACAGAATCACACATCCTGAGCAATGCTGCTTCAGGGATCGGCAGAGTCTGCCTGAGTCCCCGTATTTCAGCGTCAGGTGTGGCCCCTGGGGGCCTGAGGAGGTCCAAGCTACACAGAAGCAATGGGGGGGCAGGTCTCGGGTCCCAGCAGGCTTTGGGAACCCTTTCCCGCTCCCTCCCTGAGCACCCCACTTCCACCCGTTTCTCACCAGTCCCTCCCCTTCTCCCTGGTCCCTTCCCAGCTCACCTGAAGGGATCACCTAGTGCTCCAGGTACCTGTGTGGGCGCCCCCTGCCCAGGCTGGTTCCGGCCCGTCGGGGTTACTCATGTTCTCATAAGAGTCAGCATCTGGCCGGGGGCAGGAAGGGGGAGACATGGAGGCTGGCAGGAGGCTGTGGGGCGCAGCCCCGCGCACAATGGGCGGCAGCAGTAGAAGCACCCACCTTCCTCATGACTGGGACCAGGCTGGCCCCGCACGGAGCGGAGCTGGGGGGCTGCGTACAGGATCCCTCTCATATCCTCATAGGACCGGGACCCTGCTTGGACAGGGGTGGGGAGAAGGCCAGGGGCGTGGGGCAGGGCAGAGCAGCCAGGACAGGGGTGCCCCCTGGGAAGGGGTGAGGAGGGTTGGGTCCTTGTGAGTGAGGGGCTGGGGTTGGGTTTGGGTTACATCAGAGAAAGGGTCAAGAGCAAACCTTGGGGCTAGGAGGCAACGCGCAGGGGTTGAGTGCTCGCTTGCCACACACAAAGCCCCAAGTTTGATCTCCATCACTGTCTGCCCTCGCAACATCACAGGAGTGGCCATGGTATCCCCAGAACTGCCAAGCCAGAACCTTAGTCTTTATCCCTGTTTAAAAGAGTTTTTTGGGGGGATGGGGCTGGAGCAATGGCACAGCTGGTTGGGCATTTGCCTTGTACGTGGCTGACTGGTGTTCAATTCCCAGCCTCCCGTATGGTCCCCTGAGCACCGCTGGGAGTAATCCCGGAGTGCATGAGCCAGGAGTGACCCCTGTGCATTTCCGGGTCTGACCCCCTTAAAAAATAAAGCAAAACAGTTGGAAGGGCCAGATCGATAGTATAGTGGGTGGGGCATATGGCTGACCTGGGTTTGATGTCTGGCACCCCATATAATTCTCCAAGCTTACCAGGAGTGATTCCAGAACACAGAGCAACCACCATTTGTGGCCCAAAAACAACAACAACAAAATAATAATAATAGCACTGCACTGCACTGTAGCACCGTCCTCCCGTTCATCAATTTGCTCGAGCGGGCCCAGTAACATCTCCATCGTGAGACTTGTTGTTACCGTGTTTGGCATATCGAATACGTCACGGGGAGCTTGCCAGGCTTTGCTGTGTGGGCAAGATACTCTCGATAGCTTGCCTGGCTCTCCGAGAGGGGTGAAGGAATCGAACCCTGGTTGGTTGGGTCGGCTGCGTGCAAGGCAAACGCACAAGGCAAACCCACTGTGCTATTGCTCCAGCCCGGTAATAATAATAACAAATAATAATAATAATAATAATAAATAACAAACACTGTCCTCCCGTTGTTCATCAATTTGCTTGATTGGCCCAGTAATGTCTCCATTTTTTTGAGACTCGTTGTTACTGTATTTGGCATATTGAACACGTCACGGGTAGCTTGCCAGGCTCTGCCACGCGGTTAAGATACTCTCAGTAGCTTGCCGGGCTCTCTGAGAGAGGCGGAGAAATTGAACCCGGCTCGGCCGGGATGGCTGCACGCAAGGCAAACACCTTACCGCTGTGCTATGGCTCCAGGCCAATAATAATAATAATAATAATAATAAAATTTAAAACTTTCTCTCTCTGGACTTGAGATGGAGTACATCACATAGGGCGCTGACCTGCAAGCAGTCAAACTGGTTTCAATCTCTGGCACCACCTTTGGTCCCCCAAGCAGTGCCAGGAGTGATCCTTGAGTGCAAGGACAGGAGTAAGCCCTGAGCACTGCCAGGAGTGGCCCCAAAACCAAACCAAACCAAAATCTAGGCGAGCTAATGCAAATAGCTGAGCATATCCACTGCATACAAAATGTCTAGATTTGACCCCGGGCAGCTCACAGTCTCCCAAGTCTTGTTGGGAGTGGTCCCCAAGCACAGAGACAGAAGTAGTCCCAGGGCACTGCCTGGTGTGCCAGCTACCCTCGCCCCCCAAGAAAGGGGGGAAAAGGTGGGGAAGGACCCTGGTGAAGACTGTGATTTGGAACACTGTATGCGTGAAATCCCATCATTAATATTATTGTAGGAACCGGAGCGATTGTGCAGCAGGGGCGGCATTAGCCTTGGAAGGACCAACCTGGGTTTGATCCCCAACACCACATAGGGTCCCCCAAGCCTGCCAGGAGTGATCTCTGGGCACAGAGCCAGGAGTAAGTCCTAAGCACCACTGGCTATGGCGCCCAAACAACAACAACAAAATAAAACAGTATTGTAAATCATGGCGCCTAAAATAAAATCTAAATTCAAAATTCTGAGGGCTAGAGAGACAGTACAGCAAGTAAGGCTTTGCCTTGCACATGGCCAACCCAAGTTCCATCCCTGGCACTGTACATGGTCCCCTGGGGCCCAACAGGAGAGATCCCTGAGCACAGAGCCAGAAGGAAGTCCGGGCACTGCCAGGTATGGTTCAAAAACAAAAGAAAAATTTAATTTAAAAATTCTTAAAAGAAAAAAAAAGTAGAACTTGAAGGAAGGTCTAGAGCAATGGAGGAAAGGGTGGGGCCTGTCTCTTGCATGTGGGAGGCCTACAAACAGCTCAACCCCTGGCACCACCCCGTGTAGTCTTGGCACCTCCAGAACATCCCTTGAGGTGGCCACCAAAAATATAAGAACTATAAGGAGTTAAAGTGAGTCACATAGGAGATTGTAGAGGGACTGGAGCAATGGTACAGCACGTAGGATGTTCGACTGTGTTTGATTCCCAGTACCCCATATGGTTCCTGAGCCCACTGGGAGTGATCTCTGAGCACAGAGCCAGGAGTAAGCCCTGAGCTCCACTGGGTGTGGCCCCAAAAAACAAAAATATAAAAGGAGGTTGTAGAGATCTGGGTCAGCTGAGGTCTGCTTGACCACTGGGGTGGGGTGGAGGTCAAAGTTGGCAGGAACTGGGACAGACAGCTCTGGCCACAGTGAGGGGCTGGTGAATGTTGGGTGTGGATGGAGCTGAGATGCGAAGGTTAGTGTTAGGAGCCAAGTCTAAAGTCTGGACCAGGGCCAGAGTCAAGGTCAAGATAAGGCCTGGGGGCAGAGCAGAGGCCTGGTGAGCCCAGTTTAGGCCTGGTGGGCAGGTCCAGGTATTTCTTACCAAGGGAGGTTGCCTCGCCGCTGGGGTCCCAGCCTGGCCCATGGGGGCTCAGGAAGTCTGGAGAAAGAAGAGAGAAGTCACTATTCTTCCTGGCTTCCGGGGCTCACCCTGTCGCACTCCCCACATACTGGCCTGGTCATACGCACCCATTTTCCTGGCCACCGGCTGGCTCAGCGCTTCCTCCTCGTTCTCATAAGACTCAGCTGCTGCAAGCAAAGGAGCTCTCGGGGCACCGTTCCTGCGCGGCCCCGCGGGTCAGCCCTTCCCGGGGATCCCCAAAGGACACCCAGTTACCGTTGGAGAAGGAGTCTTCATACTCAGGATCCAAGGGTTGGTCCTCCGGGTGCTCGTATCCGCTGCCATCTGGTGGAGAAGGCGGTTCCAGCAGGGCCGCCAAGGGCGTTGGGGACGTTGCGGGTGGGATGGGGAGGGGCAGGCTTACCCCGGGACAGCTGGTCTGGTTCAAGGTTCGAGTCGTTCTCGTAGAACTCGGAGCCCTCCTCCTCGCTGTCTGGCTCCTCGTAGGCCTCCCCGTCCTCATCACGGCCTAGGATTGGAGGGACGCAGGAGAGAGCCGAGTTACAGCCGCCCTTCCCCGGGTGCCAGTCCACATGTCCTGTCCACTGACCGCTCCAACACCCGGGTGTGGGGAAAGCCCGGACCCAAATCACCGGCGGCTGGCGCGCTCCGCGCCCCGTACCTCTAGCCTGCGGGACGTCATTGTACGGGGTTCCGTGGACCGGGACGGCGGCCCCCAGGCCAGCATCCCACCGCCGGGTGCGCCCTGGCGGAAGGAGCAGAGTAGTCGCAGGTAAGAAGAGATGGGAACTGCCAAAGGATGAGGGTCTGCGCTCGCGGCCTGGCCCAGGTGGTACCCGGGGGCGGTGCCTAAACCCAGGGGGCGTGTCCTTGGGCGGGGCTATGGGTTTGGGGGAGGAGCTACTCTCGTGAAGGCGGGGTTCTTGGCCTAAAATCCCGGGGATTGGAGGGATGAGGAAGATGGGTGGGGCTCTAGCCCGGGAGGCGCTTCCTACCTGTGCCTGAAGATGTGGAAAGGGACAGCACGTTCCCGTACTGGTTCTGAGGCCCATTTGCCGCGGGAGGCGTCACTTTGAAGAACCTGGCCGAGGAAGGAGGGTTAGACTTTAGGAGGCAAGGGCAAGGATTGGCTGGGACGGGGAGACCCCGCTGTGAAGTTAAAATGTGATCCACAGGGACCCGGATGTGGCTCCGCGCAAGAACATAGGCCTTGTACCTGCAGGGCTCTGGGTTCAGTTCTCTGCACCGCCCTCTCCAACCCAATGAGACCTCTTATAATCAGTTCCCCTGTCCCAGACAGCCTGCTCACTGGAGTGGGTGGGATTGCTCCAGGGAGGTGATTTTTTTTTTCTTTTTGGGTCATACGTGGCGGTGCTCAGGGGTTACTCCTGGCTCTGCAGTCAGGCATTACTCCTGGTGGTGCTCAGGGGATCATATGGGATGCTGGGGATCGAACTCGGGTCAACCACGTGCAAGGCAAATGCCCTACCCGATGTGCTATTGCTCCAGCCCCAGGAGGTGATTTTTGAGTGTTGGACAGACATGGTGACAGAGCTGAACCCCGCCCTGAGCAGAAGCAACAGCATATTCAAAGCGCAGGGTGCCAGCACAGGAGTGCGAGGCTGGAGCACTTCACAGCATTACCTTCTGGTGGGGTCTGTCATTCTCTTTCTTTTCCTCCTCAGGGTCAGAGCTGGTGGGATTGAAGGGAGCATTTAGTGGAGCCGCTGCTTGGCATGGTGAAGATTTGGGGACTCTGGGGTTACTTGAGTCAATGGAGGACATGGACTATCAAATTCCAAGAGACTCAGGAATTTGGGGAGGGGATTCGAGGAGAAAGGGGAGCAGGAGAGTGAGGTCTGTGGGGGAAGTCCGGGTGAGCAGAGGTGAGGGCTCTCCTGGGGAAGACGGGTTGATCTAGGCAGAGCAGCTGGAGGACTTGACTCACCTCTGCGAAGATGAAGAAAACCCACCAGGGAGCCGAGGCAGAAGATCAAATAAATCAGAGTCACCGCAGGAACTTTCCAGCCTCCCATCCTCAGCAGCCAATACCATACTGCTAGGGGGACAGAGACGCAGACTTACATCTAACTTCTGCCCTCAAGACCTCAAAGGGCTGTGAATCTGGGAGGTGGGGGGACAACACTCCACACACAAATAGCCCGAAGTCTCAAGCTGCAAGAGAGTCTCTGTTCCCTCCCCCTGAGGACAGGGCATGCGCCATGCTGGCCTGGAGTAGGCCAACGCCAGGGGCAGTGTTGGGATTCAGGAGCGCAAAGATGATGACCCGCTCCCTACGCTTCAGGGAAGTTCTGGTGAAAGTGAAGCAGAGGTAACTTCCCCAAGTGAGAGGTGGATGCAGCGATGTGCTGAGATAAATTCTAAGAACTGTGGTTGGGGCAGGCATGAGAGGACTGTATCACAGGATACAGATGAGCAGGCCAACAAGACCAATTTGATGGCTGGGGAGTTGGGGGAGGGCAGGAAGTATGGTCAGGTTCTGTGGGGGCATCTGGGCAGGAAGTGTGTCTTTCCCTTACACCAGACCACCCAGAAGACTGTGCTTGGGGAAGACACTGACTGATTTTCTACTGGCTGAGCTTACAGAGACCCTGGGACATCAATGGGCAGCTCCCAGGGGTGGCCAGAGGTGGGAGGGGGTGTACTCTGGGGCCTGGAATCAAATCACTGTGGCCCAGTGGCCCAGGGAGCTATGGAGTGGAAGAGGCCCACTAGCAAGAATGAAGACAAGGATGGAAAGACAGAAGACAAGGATGAGAGCTCTGGGATCCCACCCCAGGGCTCGTGGGGAGAAAGGAAACATCACCAGCAGCTGTAGAAGGACCCACTGTGGAAAGAAAATCAAGGAAAGTGGGGTACAAGGGAGTCAGTGCTCTGGTCAAGGTTGGGGTTCAGAATGGAGCTGGTACTAGAGCCCAAAGGTTGGAATCCAAAGTTGACTGGCTTTGCTGTTCTTTCCAGGAGCCGCCTCCCCCCTGCCCCCCGATGTCCCATGATTGGGAGAACCCTGACCTGACTGGGCTGTGACATTCAGCTGCATGCTGATGATCTTGTTGCCAAAGCTGCAGTGGTATGTGCCTGCGTGCTGAGCTCTGGCCTGGGGCAGGGAGAGGACAGCTCCTCCCCGGACGGTGACCAGGACCCACTTCTCCATGTCTGCACCGTCCTTCCTGACCATCAGATTCAGCAACGAGAGATTAGACCTCTTGGGGTGCACATGGGTCCAGAAGATGGGGGTCTCAGAGTCTGGGGGCACCACACACTTCAGCCAGAGGGTGGAGCCGGGAGCCACAGTGAGATCTGGGAAGGCAGAACCAAGACTTGAAGTCCCCTCCAGTCTCCATCACCGTCCTGGGCCCCCACTGGTGGTGACCCCCAGCCCTTTACCTTGGCTCTGGTTTGAACTGCGTCTTGGTGGAGGACACTTGGACTCTGCCTCCAGAGGCATACCGAGATCTCCATCCCACACATACAGCTGGGAGCTTGGGGCGTGGCCAGAGGAGGATCTGTTCCCCAGGTCGCATCCTGGGTCATACAGGTCTGAAGTATTCCACCGGAACAGCTCGCCTGGGCAGAGAGTAGGACCAGATCCAGAGACATGCAGGACACAGAGACCCAGGAAGGCGGAGAGAAGGCCTGGGGCCCATGTTCTCCAAGCAGAAGCCCCTGATTCAATCCCTACCACTGCATTGTTCCCCCCAAGCACCCCAGGGAGCAACCCCCATGCATCATCAGGTGTAGCCCCAAACAATAAATAGAGGAGAGGGGAGTTTTACGGGCCCCTAAAACTCTCTGCTTGTCCCTCAGGGGCCCTGACCCCTCCCCCAGGCCCTTAGTAGCTGCTAGACTCCGCCCCCAGCACCAGGCCCTGTCCCTGCCCTCACCGCTGCCCTCCACGCTGACTGTCCAGCCAAATTGCCAAGCCTCTTGGGAAGGGTCGTCCCTGGAGCACAGGTGGAAGCCCCCCATCTCCTCCGAGACATTGGTGATGAACACCCAGATGCCCTGGGGCCCCTTCTGCACCCCCACGTTCAGTAACCCTCGGTTCAGCTGTAGGAAGGGTGTGTCCTCTCGAGACCAGGACAGGTTCTCAGGGGGACCCTCTAGGGGGTCTCTGAGGCACTGTAGCACAGCTTCATCTCCCTCTGTGGAGGAGAAGGAGAGTAATAAGAGCTCCAAGCTCGGTTCATACCTCCCTCCCTCCCTCCCTCCCTCCCTCTGAGTTATAAACCCCCCAACCCCCCCAGTCCCCACCAGCGGGGAGCAGATGAGCCCCCAGAGTCCTTCCAGTCCCTCCCTGAATTTTGTGAGCAAGCCCAGGGCAGCTCTGGCCGGGGAGTTTCTCGGCCCCAACCCTGTTTTTCCAGCCTCAGTGGCTCCCATACGTATCTTCTGGTCATACCTGTAACCTGCACCAGCCGTGGCTCCTGGGGTCTCACTGCCACAGGCGTGAGGAAGAGAAAGAAGGAGAGGAGAGGCGGCATGGCCATGCCGGACTGCCTGGGACACCCCAGCTCCGCGGCGCAGGGGATGCTGGGGCAGGTGGGGGCCGGGGGCACTGAAGCATGGGCGTCTGCGGGGGTGGCGGGCAGTCCCTCCAGGGAGGAAGGGGTGGTCACGCCTCAGGCCTTCTCCCTGCACCCCTCCAGACCCAGCAAGCTTGCACCCCTTCCTGTACCTCAAAAGAATTTCCATCCCAGCCCTTGCTACCAGGCGAAACGTCCCTATTGGTGCATCTGTGTCGCTTTCGGTTCCCTCCTTGGGACAGAGGCCTTGCCTTGTTGGCTGCTGTTGCAAGGCCCCCCCAAAATCTGTGCCAGGCCCGCCAGAGGGGCCCAGGAAATGCTGCTGAATGAACAGGTCCAGTGTAGCATGCCGCCTCTTTCTTCATTCACTACCTCCTCGCACCCCAGACTCCCCCATTTCCCTTCACACATGCTCCCCGTTCATCCGTTCAACCACCGTCCCTTCACCTTCCAGCTCCAGTCACTGCCCAGTGCCCACGCTCCAGGCTCCAGCCGAGTTGAGTGAGAATCCTCCACCTCCTACCCTGTGAGTTTCCAAAGGAAGTGGCCAAGAGCCGTCCCCTGGCCGGCTCACAGCGATGGACGGACAGACAAAGGACGAGGCAACAGAGAAATAGAGTCTGGGTCCCAGGCTGGTTGGTAGTCAGTTTATTTTCTCTGTCCTGCCCAGCCTAGTCCGATCTCTCCCTTTACAGCACAGTCGTAGTAGTAGTTTTGGTTGTAGTTGCAGTCATCATAGTTCCCTCATCCTCGTCCGCATTGTAGTCCTCCTAGTCCTCGTCCAGTCCCCTCTTACCCCATACAGCATACAGAAATCATGAAGGGTGGGGTTCACATAGGTGGGGGCACCACCAGGAGTAATTCCTGAGTACACTAGCCAGGCGTTAACCCCTGTGCATCACCGGGTGTGACACAAAAAGCAAAAATAAATAAATAAATAAATAAAATGTTCATTTTATTAAAAAAAAATCTCATATGAGGGTTCATCAGCACTCTAGATTACTAGGAGATCCACTTAAGGGTGGGATTCCTTCCAGGGTGTATTTCTTTCTCCTTTCCCCCACCGGCTAGTATAGTCCATTTAACCATTCATAGTAAATTTACTTTTTATTATATTTCTAGTCATTTAGTATGAACACAGAAAGAGATATACTAAGCTTAAAGGTTGACTCTTCCTGGGGACATCTCGCTATATATCCCAGACCACAGTCCCCTGGCCAGGTTAGGCTTTCCTAACCCCAGCAGGGTTCTTATTCAGTTACTTCTTTTTGGGCCATGACAGTCTGTTCCTTGACCATGCTCTTATTATACTTCTGATAGCACTTAGTTTGTCCCTTTCCAATGCCAGGGTAGCGAAGAGCTTGCCCTGGGTCCATCCAGTCCCTTTGTCAGGATCCTCCTTTTGGGGGGTGTTAGGAAATAAGGGGAACTGAGGTTTAAGTCAGGTAAATGTGATGGATGCCCATGAGTGAATATATTTGGAGTCAATTAACTCCCATGTTACAAAATCATAGCATCAACTGTCTTCCTGTGTCTATACAAAAAGGCCTTTGCTGGGGCTGGAGCAATAGCACAGCAGGTAGGGTGTTTGCCTTGCATGCGGCCGACCCAGGTTCAATTCCCAGCATCCCATATGGTCCCCTGAGCACCGCCCAAGAGTAACCCCTGTGCATTGCTGAGTGTGACCCCCCCCAAAAAAAAGGCCATTGCTAAATCATGCAAGTGACTTAATGGAAAGAGAAAAGCAATATAGGATTATTAGTGCTTGATGGAATTGGGTGCGCCTTGGGAGCACTATTGTGTGAGTAGCTCAATAAGCCTATACTCCCTGCGGGAGAAACAAGGATAACCCAATGTTATCCAACACTACCCCATGTAAACTGGGGATCCTAATAGTCCCATTGGATATCTTTTGCGAAGATTAAATGGGGATGAGAGGGGGCCCAGGATGGCTCATTGGTAGAGTGCCTGCCTTATCAGCATGAGGACCCGAGTTTAACCCCCAGTAATGCCACACATGTCAGAGTGTAGTCCTAGCAGCTTTGTTCTTTGGGGGGGGTCATAACAAAGTGTGTCTCCCCTGAGCACCACCATTAAGTGTGTGACACCCTATCACCACCACCACCCAAACCACACACACATCACTGCAATAACAAGAAAGAAAGAGGGAGACAAGTTTAAAATCAGAAATGAAGGGCCAGAACGATAGTGTACCGGGTAGGACATTGGCCTTGCATACGGTTGACCTGGGTTCCATCCCCAGCATCCCATAGGGTCCCCTGAGCACTGCCAGGAGTAATTCTTGAGTGCAGAGCCAGGGGTAACCCCTGAGCATTGCCCAGGGTGTGACCCAAAAAGCCAAAAACAAGCAAACAAATAAAATCACAGAAGAATAAAGGAAGAGCTGAAGTGTTCTTAGGCCTGTTATTCAGAGGAGAATCACCAAAGGGCAGAGGTGCCCCACACTCCTGTGGCCCTTCAAGGCACCCTGAGAACCAAGGGCTCATCTGTGCCCTTTCTCTTCCACATTGGCCCAGAATGGCTGCTTAATGTTCTCTGGTTGGATGTTCTGGCATCAGGGAAATGAAGGTCCCCTGAAGGGCAGGGTGTGGCCTGAGATCCCTCTCGGAGCACTGACAGAAGAAGCAGAGGTCAGCGTGAAATGTGTCTAGTCTGCTCTCCGCCTCCCGGCCTGTGTCTCCCTCCCTCTCTCCCTCCTTCCCTCCTGCTCTCGGACCCTGGAGACCTGCTTTCTCAGTTGCTGTTTCCCAGGCTGTCTCACCGGTCTGCGGCTTCCTGTTTGCCTCAAGCAAACCCCAGGGGACCCTCCAGCTGGCAGGCCACCCACTTCCCCTTGGTGAGGTTGGGGGGACTCAGAGGGGGACGAGCGGGGCCCTGAGGAATGGAGAGGGTGAGGTGGCAAGACCCCTGCTCGCCTTCCACACAGCAAAATCTCTTTCATTCCCACCTGCTTCAGGGCAGAATCTTCTTGCCTGAGCAACCTTGCGGGTCCCCCTGCCTAGACTGTCACGGTGTCTTTTATCAATGGAGCAAATGTTCACACTGCCTCCCACCAGAGCCCTCCACCAGGCCCCCAAGCTTAGGTGGGGGATGGGGCTTTGCTCCGACTCTTCATTCTGGATTTCTCCCCGTTCCACTCCACTGGCTCCCTCCTCGGGCTCAGGTCTCTACTCAAATGTTACTTCCTCAGAAAGGCCTTCCCTGAGGCTCACCCACACCTGCTTGCTTTCTTTCTAGGCCCCAGAGAACAATTGATTTGTTCACTTTCTCATGGGCCTGGCGCTCTGAGACCTTCATGCTGAGACGGGGCTCTCTGTCGTCTGGTCCACGGGCAGGCTGGAAGCATGTCCTTTGGATATAAGAAGTGAGGTGGGCCTGGGAGATGGCTCAACGAGCTGGTGCTTTGCATGCAGGAGTCCTGGGTTTGATCCCTGTCACCACATGGTCCCCTGCGCACATCTGGAGAGCAACCTAAACACTGAGTCTAGAGTAGTCAGTCCCTGAAGATCACCGGGTATGGTCCCCAAACAAAAGTAAGAGAAAGATGAAAGATGTTGGATCACATTGGTTTGTCCTTTCTCCCTTCCTGCCCCCCCCACCCGCCGGAAGTTTAAGCTTATGAATTACTCCCACCATAGTGCTCCCAAGGCACACCCAATTCCATTAGGCACCCCCAATCCTGTCTTTATCTTTAACCTCTCCTTTGTGCTCTTCTTCCCCTATCTGTTAATCACTTATATCCCCAAATCAGACCCTGTGACTTGTAAAAAAGTCAAATTCTTCTTAGGGCTCTGGATTTTGTATACGTAAGTGAAATATTGCTTTTTTCTTTCCTTTATGTCCTTTGCATAGTTTACCTTAGAGCAATGTCCTTTTTGTATAGACACAGGAATACACATAATTCTATGCTTCTGTAATTTGGGAGTTAATTGACTCCGAATAATATTTACTCCTGCGCATCCATCATATTTAAGTCTCAGTTACCCTTAGTTCCTAATAACCCCAAAAGGGGATTCCCGGTGAGGGACTTAGATGGACCCAGGGCAAGTCATAAGCTATCCTGGCATCAAAAAGGGACAGACTAAATGCCATAAGAAGCATAAGTTAAGAGCACGGTCATGGGGGGCTGGAGAAATAGCACAGCGGGTAGGGCGTTTGCCTTGCACGTGGCCGACCCAGGTTCGATTCCCAGCATCCCATATGGTCCCCTGAGCACCGCCAGGAATAACTCCTGAGTGCAGAGCCAGGAATAACCCCTGTGCATCACCAGGTGTGACCCAAAAAGAAAAAAAAAGAGCACAGTCATGGAACAAACTGTCATGATTCAAAAAGAAGTAACTAAATAAGGACCCTGCTGGGGTTAGGAAAGACTAACCTGGCCTGAGGACGGTATAGCTAAATGTCCCTAGGAAGAGCCACCCTTTACATTTAATACATCTTTTACTGTGTTCATGACTAGAAATGACTAGAAATATTATTAAGAAGTAAATTTAAGATGACTGTTTAAATGGATACTGGCTAAGGAAAAGAGAAAGCAAGACACTTTTAGAAGGAATTCTGCCCTTGGGTGGATCTAGAGTACTGAGCTGATTTTGTCAGCTGAGTACTGATAAGATTTTGTCCTTGATTATCTCCTAGAAGTTCCCCTGGAGGGAGGGCTTTACATCTTTTCATTGTTTATTATAATGTTCAACCACACCTATGTATAATTGCTACCCCCAACCCTTCATGATTTCTCTATAACTAACTCTGTGAAACTTGAGTAAATGGCCACTAATTATCAACCATCTTGGTGGCTCCTGTTCCCTCCTTATTCATCCATTGCTATAGGGGGGAAGGTGATTCAGCCCAAAATGCTCCAGGGGACCCTCGGAAACCATGGGCGGGCCGGTGACCACACACAAGTACAGCAACAGAAAGACATTTTTCTTTTCCTCCCATGCAAGTTCAGTCACCAAGTCCCGTCCATTTTCTCTCTTAAATATTTCTCTCTTCTTTCTGGATTCTTCTCTTTCCAGTCAGAATAATTTCAGCAGCCTCTTTGGCTGCACTCCTCACTGCCTTTATCATCTACCCCAGTGACCCCAGGGACCCATATGTTAAAGTCCAACCTGGTCTCTATCCTAACTGCCCTTAGGATAGAGAAGAGACCAGTAGGACAATGATAGATAGAAATGATCATTTGGGACAGGAATTGAGTGGTGAAAGTTGGTAATGGGGCCATGATCCAGAGAATCAAATAAATCTCGAAAGAGATCTCCAAATTGCAGAGATGTTTCCAAACCCTGAACCAGGCTAAATTCTCAGGGCACCCTGGAGGAGAGGTGGGTAAGCCCAGCACCTGCCCAAACAAGAACCCTGGCAGCCAAAAAACTATTTACTCCACAATTGCTGCCATGCTCATGGCTGGACGCCACTGCTCAGGACAAGCCTCATCCAGAAATGAATCTGTTGAAAAACCCCGGTATGCAGGTTTTGTGACTGAAATCTCCAGGCTTTTATGGAGTCAGGATGCGCTTGCCACATCTCCCTGTATTTCTGGAAGCCTTGGCGTCCACCCGTGCCTCTGGTGTAAGCTCATTAATCAGCCATGATTTAGAGACTCATGAATAAATCTTGAAAGAGATCAACAAGTTGCAGAAGTGCTTCTGGACCTTGAGCCAGACTGAATTGTCTGAGTCACCATCCAGTTAAAAATTTAACTCCAGCTCTATCATCCCATTCGAAAGTTTGGAATTCCTGGAGTGCGCAGCCGCGAATCTCATCTCAAACTTTACATCACTGATAAACCAAGACACACTACATTGGATGGGATATAAAGCAGAACACAAGCAATCTCGATTAACAAAATATAAACACACGAGGCTTAATCTGTAACATGTTAGTAATCTCTTATACAAGAGTTTAATGGCTCCATGGTGAGATACAACAATCTTCACACACTTTCTTCTAAGGAAACCTTTTGTAATCATTTTTTTGTGAATCATTCATTACAATATAAAATTAAGGGGGTGTGGTGCCGCCAGCAGGTCAATCTGTACCTGTGAGGCGAGTGCATCAGCAGCCTCATGGCGCCTTCAGACTTCCAGATACCCCAAAATCGCTGCTGTGCCTTTGGCCAGACCCCAAAAACTTGGGGCAAAGTTTACCAAGAAAGTAAACGGCCAAAAGTTAGGTATGTAGGAAACACACCCACAAACCACCTCCGGCTCAGCTATATAATTGGAGGCAAGGCCTCTTTGGTTCCTGATTGAACTGCTTAATGGACATGATCCCAGAGACTCAGAAACGAATCTCAGAACCCAGTGGCTTTAGGTAGAAATGCGTCTGGTCTCTGCAGTAGGCTACCGGTGCTGGGCCAACCCAGGTGGGAATAGGTTTCGTGCCTTGGCCTATTCCCCCCTGGCGGCCCAGTGGCTGCCATCCGTCTGAGGCCACTGGATAGTCACGTTTGGGCCCCCAGTGATGAGACACACAGGGCCTCATGGGATGAGGGTGGAGCCGGGCTTGTCCTCCCCACCCCAACGAGGCCCCAAGTCATCGCCCACGAATGGCCTCTCTGGCTCCTGATCAAGCTGCTTAACGGCCATGATCCCAGAGACTCAGAAACAAATCTCAAAACCCAGTGGCATTTGGCAGAAATGCATTCGGACTCCACAGTACGTTACTGTCACTGGGCCACCCCTGGGAGGAAAGGGTGTTGTCCCTCCGCCTGCTCCCTCTTGGCGACTTGGTGGCTGTCATCCTCCAGAGGCCATTGGACAGTCAGGCTTGGGCCCGCAGTGACGAAACTTGTTGGGTCTCACGGGATGGGGGGGAGGTGGAGCCGGGCCTGTCCTCCCCACCCTAACGAGACCCCAAGTCATCGCCCACAAACGGCCTCTCTGGCTCCTCATCAAGCTGCTCAATGGCCTTGATCCCAGAGACTCAGAAACAAATCTCGAAAACCAGCGGCTTTTGTCAGAAATGTGTCCGGACCCCGCAGTAGGTTACTGTCACCGGGCCACCCCAGGGGGGAATGGATGCTGTCCCTCCGCCTGCTCCCTCTTGGCGACTTGGTGGCTGTCATCCTCCAGAGGCCATTGGACAGTCAGGTTTGGGCCCGCAGTGACAAAACTTGTTGGGTCTCACGGGATGGGGGGGAGGTGGAGCCGGGTCTGTCTTCCCCACCCCAATGAGACCCCAAGTCATCGCCCACGAACGGCCTCTTTGGCTCCTCATCAAGCTGTTCAACGGCCATGATCCCAGAGACTCAGGAGCAGATCTCTAAACCCAGTGGCTTTTGGCAGAAATCCCTCCAGATTTAAGTGTTAAAATTTCAGAACTTCAAAACCACATGGCCCTACTGCAGCCACACGACATCATATGTTATTCATAACTAGCAATAGAACACAAATTGTCTATTGTTGCCTTTTCAGCAGATCTGAGTGTTGGGGTAAAATCTTAAATAATGGTGGGTCTGGTGTCGAAATAGTGAATGTGATCAAAGTAGAGAGAGAGTAATGTAGAAATCATCTGCCCCACAGGCAGGGGGAGGGTGTGGGATGGGGGCATACTGGGATTTTTGGTGGTGGAGAATGGGCACTGGTGAAGGTACGGGTGTTTCATTGTATGACTGAGACTTAGACCCAAAAGCTTTGTAACTGCTCTCACGGTGATTCAATAAATAAAATTATAAAAAATGGAAAAAGAAAAAAAAAGTAAGGTGGAGTTCATGAACAATTCAATCAGCTAATCAGTAGCTGAATAAATAGCAGTACTCCTACAAAAAAAGAAAAAAAGAGAGAAAAATAAAAAAAATAAGTAAAAGTAAAGTAAAGGCCCTCCCGTTGATCATCGATTTGCTCGAGCGGGCCCAGTAACGTCTCCATTGGAGACTTTGTTGTTACTGTGTCTGGCATATCGAATACTCTCGGTAGCTTGCCGGGCTCTCCGAGAGGGGTGGAGGAATCGAACTCGGGTCGGCCATGTTGGCTGCGTGCAAGGCAGACGCCCTACCCGCTGTGCTATCGCTAGAACAGCGGATAGGGCGTTCGCCTTACAAGCGGCCAACATGGCCGACCCGAGTTCGATTCCTCCACCCCTCTCGGAGAGCCCGGCAAGCTACCGAGAGTATTCGATATGCCAGACACAGTAACAACAAAGTCTCCAATGGAGACGTTACTGGGCCCGCTCGAGCAAATCGATGATCAACGGGAGGGCCTTTACCTTTAAAAAAAATTAAAAAAATAAAATTAATTATGTGCTGGGGATTCAAGCCTGGGTTGCCACTTGTGAGGAACGTGTCTATCTCTCTGGTCATCTCCTTGTGATTTTTAGTTTGCACTTCTCCAACGGATATCAATATTGACATCCCTTTTTGCGTATCTACCACCTGTGACACCAGTAAAATGTGTATGCTGTGCCTTTGTCCACTTTTAAATTGGGTCCAGTGAGATGTTTTGCAAGGGATCACTCTACCTGCTTTGAGAATTAACTTAAGGGTCAAATGCTCTGTGAGCTGTAGGAAAGGTGATGTTGGCACTGCAAAGTAGGGAAGGGCCCAACGGGGAACATTCAGCGTGCTGGAGCAGTGCACAGACTTTGCAGGACATCGAGGAATTACTTGGAGAGGCGGTTGCTGGCCTTGACTGTCACCACCCAAAATCTCGGGAGGCGAGGGGGGCCGTAGCACAGCTGGTAGGGCGCGAGGCTTGCAGCTGGGGTTCTATCCTCCGCATCCCATGTGGTCCCCGATCCCCACCAGGAGTGATCCCTGGGTGCAGAGCCAGGAGTTAAGCCCTGAGCACCGCCGGGTGTGGCCCCCAAACCAACTGAACGTCGGGACCGTGGTCACGGTGGATTATAGTTTGGCCAAGGGCAGGTCCGAGCCAGGTGGCCCAGGGATGAGGTGGGGAGCAGGAAGCGGGGACCGGGGAAGTATCAAAGTGCGGGTGGGGACGTGGAAGTTCCTAACGCCTACGAGTGACCGCGGGAACTCGGCGCCCAGCCCTGGCCCGAGGGACCGGCCGCGAGGGCGGCGGTGCAGGAGCCGGGTCCGGCAGCCGCGGAGAGGGAAGGGAGAAGGGCAGGAGCGTGGCCCCGCGGCCGGCCCCGGGGGGGCGGGGGGCGTCCCGGCGGAGGCGTGATCTCCACACAACCTGCAAGGTCGCGCGGGGAGACTCGGACAAAGAATCGGGCCCTTGACGGACGGGCGTCCTCCCGGAACAGCGCCGGCCAGTCGCGGGGCGGGAAGGGCGGGGCGGGGCCGGGCGCGAGGCCGGCAGGCCGACCACTCGCGAAGCTTCGGCCCAGGATCGCGGGTGCCCCCCCTCCCCCCCAGCCCGCCTGGGCCGCGAGCCGGGGCCGGTCCGGAAACAGCCGAGCGGATCCGGAAACAGCCGAGCGGACCCGGAAGCGAGGGCGCCGTCAGCAGCCCGTGCGGGAACCCGCCGTTTGCGCGGAGGCCATGGCGGCTGCGGCGCCGGCTGTGGCGGGCGAGGGCGGCCGGCGGCGGCAGCCGGGGGCCGGTACGTGGGGGCGCGGCCGTGCACGGGGGGCGGCGGGCCGGGGGCGGGGCCGAGCTCGGCGGCCGGCGGAAGGGGGCGGTGAGGGGTGGGGTGGGGTGGGGGGAAAAGACCGGGGAAGGGGCGTGGCCGCCGCGGGCGGGGCGGGGCCTGGGAGCCACCTGCGGAGGGGGCGTGGCCGGGCCCGGGCAGGTGAGGCGGGGCCCGCGAGAGTAGGGGGCGGGGTCGTGCTGCAGCCAGGAGGGGATTGGACGACCCGAGACGAGGGCGGGGCTGCTGGCGCTACAAAGCCGAGCGGGGCGGGAAGGGGCGTGGTCGGGCGGCTGGGCGTGGCCAGGTGAAGGGTGGGTTGCAGGTGGAGATTTCTTGGCCGGCTGGGTAAGAGATGGCAAGGGGCCAGAGCCCAGTGGGTACTAGCTTTGCCTTGCACGCGGCTGACCCGGGCTGGATCCCCGACTTCCCATATCGTCCCCCCGAGCACTGCCAGGAGTGATCCTGAGTGCAGAGCCAGGAGTGATTCCTGAATGCAGAGCCAGGAGTAACCCCCGAGCATCGCTGGGTGTGACACCCCTCCCACCCCCGCCAAAAAAAGAAAGAGCAAGAGAAAGAGATGGTAAGAAAGTCTGATCCCTGTCCCCCACAGCGCTGGACCCCCAGCCCCAGGAGGGGGCAATGGCGGAGGCCGAGCCAGGGGAGCTCAGCCGTCTTCGGGCCGAGCTGGCAGGTGCCCTGGCAGAGATGGAGACCATGAAGGCAGTGGCGGAGGTGAGCGAGAGCACGAAGGCGGAGGCTGTGGCTGCAGTGCAGCGGCAGTGCCAAGAAGAGGTGGCCTCGCTGCAGGCCATTCTGAAAGGTGAGACTCCTCCCAGACTCCCGTCAGCCCTGGCAGCCCTGGCAGCCCCGTCAGCCCCATCAGCGGGAGATCCCCGCAGGAAAGGGGCTGGGCCACCCGTGAGTGGCGCAGGAGGTTAGGAGCCTTGGAGCCCCGCAGGCCTCTGACCCCCTGTGACTTGTACGGAGGCACTGTGTGTGCTCAGCCCCTCTATCGGTGCCAGCTTCTACCTGTTCCCTCACCCAGGGTCAATTCTCAGCCCTCACTGATGGGAATCAGCCTTGCAGATGAGCATCTGCTGGGTTTCTTTGAGCCTCTGGGCTACAGACTCAGCCTTCAGTCTCTGCTTTCCTTCCTTCCCTAGGCACCCCCACATCCTCAGCCCTCCCTGCCCCCCTCCTCCCCGAGTGCACGTGCGCGCGCGCACGCACATACACGCACTCACATGCACTAATTTCCCTCCCTCCACCTCATAGCCTCTGTATCTGGGGTACAACAGCTCCTGTATCTGGTACACTAGCCCCAGATCCTCCTGTATCTGAAACAGCCTCCTCTGCCACGGCTACTAGCAGGGCTTAATGTGTTTAACCAGGGTTGGCCCTGATTTTTTTTTTCTTTTTGGGTCACACCCAGCGATGCACAGGGGTTACTCTTTACTTTGCATTTAGGAATTACTCCTGGCAGTGCTTGGGGACCCTATGGGATGCTGGGGGTTGAACCCAGGTCGGCTGCATGCAAGACAGGTGCCCTACTGATTGTACTATCACTCCAGCCCTGACCCTGATGTTTTTTAATAATTAAAAGATTTTTTTGGTTTGTTCAGAAAATTTAGGCACCACTTCCCACAAGACTCAGCCAGCTGGCCAAGGGGTCAGTGCTCAAAGCCAGGGACCCATGGGGCCACCACACACAGCAGTTAGGCGACCATGCAGTGCTGGGGATCAAATTCAGAGCCTCCTGCAAGGCATCCACCACAGCCCCTTGCATTCTCTCCCGGCCCCTAAAGTGACTTTTCATGGGGTCATCCCTATCAGTGCTCAGGAGCACCAGGGCTACCTAATGCTCTTCCGGGCCATGTTGTACTGGGGATTGACCCAGGTCCTTGCATTGTACAGCATGTGTTCTGCCGCTGGAGCCCACCTCTGGCCCAGATCCATTTTCGTGTGTGTGTGTGTGTGTGTGTGTGTGTGTGTGTGTGGGCCACATTCAAAAGTGCTCAGGAGCAACTCTTGGATCTGTATCTGGAGATTATGCAGTGCCGGGGTCTAAACCCAGGTCTCCCACATACAAAGCCTGTACTTCAGTCCTTTGAGGCATCCCAACCCCAACTCTATTCTCTATTTATTTATTTTGGCTGGGGCCCACATGCTCACGGATGGACTATGCCAAGCACCTTTCCGTTTTTGGTTTTGGTTTTAGTTTTGTTTTGTGGTCACACCCAGTGCTGCTTAGGGCTGACTTCTGGCTCTCCGCTCAGGGATCACTCCTGGTGGGGTTCGGGGAACTATATGGGGTGCTGGAGATGGGTCAACCGTATGCAAGGCAAATGCCCTACCCACTAAACTAAACCTCTCTGGCCTCCTCCTTCAGATCCACTGTTTTAGTGGCCCAGTCACTGCTGACGTGGCCCCTCTCCCCAAAGAAACTTTACATACATTTAATAATTCATTTGTTTTCAAGGTTTCCCCTTCCGCCGCTCCACAGATGTAGTGACTCTGATTGGAGTCACGGGGGGGGGGGGGTGGGGGGGGGAGTGTACCTGCCAGTAGCGCTTCCCGCGGTGGTGGAGGGCAGGAAGGGGGTTGTCTCTTGTCAGGTTATGCTAATGAGGTCGCTCTGCTGCTGTCGCCAAGCCTGCAGGCGCGCTCACTGGGGGTCATGCACTCTAACTGTGGTGTTTGTGGGTTTGCTGGCCAGCGCTCAGGCCTGGTTCAGTCTGCCTGGAAATCACGCTCAGCTGTCGGAATCACAGGCTGCCGAGCTGCCAGGTTCCCCCTGGGCACCTGTATGAGCACCAGGGATTCAACCCAGGGCCTGGTGCTGTCGCCCCAGAGCTGCCTTGTAGTCCCCTCACACTCGACAGACATTCAGAGAAACGACAGACATTCAGAGAAACGCTGGAGTAGAGAAACTTGAGCAGGTCCTAATTGCCCGTCTCGAGGGCTTTCTGTTTGCCGGGCACTGAGCAAAATGTCCAGTGAATATTTTTACCTTCCTAACAAAATTTCCACGCCACTAAGAAAGCCCCAGGGCCCGGAGAGATGGGATTAGTGGCGCAAGGTCAGGCCTCGAGCAGGTGTCAGAACACTGAACCCAGCCAGTTTCGCCGCAGAATTGCTTCTACCATTCACACCTGTGACAGCACATAACCGTCGGTAGAAAGGGAAAGTGAGCACCAAGCTGGTTGCAGCGGCTCCCCTTCCCCCCTGCCCGGGAGGGTAAGCTCCAGGCTCCTTGGTGTGGGCATCAGGGCCCAGGGAGCCGCCCACTGCTGCCCCTTCCCGCATCTGCCTGAGGCGCGCCATCCACTTTGCCAACGCGGCCTTTGCTCCTAGCCAGGCAGACAGAATGACGGCTCCATCCTCCGACGCTGCCAGCCCCGCTGAACAGTTGCTCCGCACTCCCAGTCGTGCTTCCTTGGGCTTTCTGAGGCCGCCTTCACTGCTGGCCTCTCAGCTCCTGGCCCTGATCTTTGATCAATCCTTCTATTTCCAGCTGGGCGTCTGGCTCAAGGTCCATGGGTCTTACTATTATTAGATATCGATTGTTACTGGGACCTTTACAAAGTGTTTGTATCATCAGTGTTTGTGATGTCCCAGGAAGAAGGCTGACAGCTCCCAGATGTCAGCCTCCTTTGATGCCCTAACAAGCCCGGGGGGCGGGGGGTGATGGTCAGTGTTGCCCTTTCTTAGCTGAGGACATTGACGCAGAGATGCTGCACTGCCCAGGCCCTCTGCCCGCCAAGCCCTCCGTCATCACCGCCCTGGGAACTTGCCTGGCTGAGAGCATCCATGAGGGGCAGCCCCGGGGCACTGACCCTCCCTCTCCCCCCGCCCTTCCTGCCGTGCCAGACTCCATCGGCAGCTACGAGGCCCAGATCACTTCCCTGAAGCAGGAGCGGCAGCAGCAGCAGCAGGACTGTGAGGAGAAGGAGCGAGAGCTGAGCCGCCTGAAGCAGCTGCTGTCCCGGGCTCACCCCCTGGATTCCTTGGAGAAGCAGATGGAAAAGGTTGGGGCGGTCTCCCCCCGCCCAGGTTTGAAAAGAGGTGGAGGTGGCCGGGGTGCCCTGGGGGCAGAGAGATGGTAGGTGCCCCGTTGCTGGCAAGAGCCCCATGCGGTTGCTGTGGGCAGGGCACTGAGCGCCCACATCCTGCCCAGTGCCCAGCGCTGGCCTCGGCCAGCTCTGCCGCAGTGCGCTGACCTCATCAGTTTGATTCCAGAATGCCGGGCAGGGGCTCGGGCTGTGACGCGGTGGCAGAACACAAGCCTTGCTGGTAGAGGAGCCGGGTTCAATCCCCAGCACTGGAAAACACCAATAAACTAGAGCAGAGCCAAGGGAAGCCCTGGCGGGGAAGGGAGCTCCCTCCTGGGCTCCTTTCCGGGGCTCGGGCAGTGGGCTAAACTGCTGGCCAGACTCAGTTTCCCCAGAGGTCCTCCCACCTTACCCAGCTCCCGGATGAGGAAGTGAGGCTCACAGCGGTTCAGTAATTCTCCCAGGTCATACTCAAGAAAAAGATCAGAGCTAGGATTTTTAAATGCAGCCCGTCTGCTTCTAAAGTTGTTTTTTATTTAATTTATTGGGGGGGGCACACAAGGGGCCTTCAAGCAGTGTGGTGAGGGCTGTCCCAGTCATAGTTAGGAGGACCATGTGGTACTGGGGATCAAATCCAGGTCAGGCATGTGCTGATGAACCCCAGAGCTCCCTCCCTGGTGCCCGCGGCCTTGGGTCTCCTTGGCACACGCTGTTGTGTGTGCCATGAACAATGGTGGGACACCTGCCACCAAACCCTCCGCCACCTTCCTGTCACAGCCGCCCTATGGGCGCTCACCTGATCTTGGAGGAGGAAAGGTGAGGAACGCGGATCAGCTGAGAAAGGGAGGATCTGGGCAGGCTGGCATCTTGCCCTGCGTGCCCCTCCCTGCCCTCACAGGCTCAGCCCGGCCTGCAATGTGGCAGGCAGCATGGCTGGGACAGCAGCTCCTGCGCTGGCCGTTCCTGGCCTTCCACCGTGCAAGCACCGTAGAACCATCCAGACTGGTGTATCTGCTGCCTGCGCTCACGACTGCTGGAAGGTGGGCTGGACAGCTGCCCAGCGCATGAGGCATTTGCCTGGCACAAGGCCCACCTGGGTTTGGTCCCTGACACCCCAGAGGGTCCCCTGAGCCCTACAGATCTCCTGTACGCAAAGCATTTGCTCAGCTTTGTGAGCTCTCTGGGTCCATAAGTTTTTTGTCTTTGTTTTTTTTTAAGCTCAGAGGCTTAAATATTCTCCCCAGGGTTGATTTGACAAGTTTTTAAGAACTCAGCCTCTTCCTTCAGAGGTCTTTGGTTGCCTCGTGGCCCAAAAGGGAGAGCCAGTCATCAGATCCACATCCCAATCCGTCGAGAAAGGCGCAGCGTCTCCTTTTTAAGTTGTCCTGGAAGCTGCAGGTGGCCAGACCTCTTACACCTTGTCATTTGGAACACAACCATGCTTTGTGGCAGGGACCCTGAGAAACAGAGCCGGTATTCTAGAATCTAGGTCAGAGGTTCCACTTACCTGGTTTACCACTCCCTTTTCAGCGGGGGGAAAAAATCCCCAAAGCGGTATCTCCAGTTGCACCTGAGGCTGCGTGTGTCCTCCAGGGGGCAGTGTTGTCCACTCCGGGAACGGCTGATCTGGGGCATATGCTCAAAATAGGTGAGGTTCTAGAAGGCCAAAGAAATAGCTCAGCATGGGCAGAAGCCTTAGGACAGCAGGTACTAGCCTTGTACGCGGTGACCCGTGTTCCATCCTGGCCTTTCATTAGAGCCCTGCCAGGAGTGATCTCTGAGTACTGCCAAAAGAAGGGGGGGAAAAAAACCTCAAAAGGAAAAAATTAATTAAAAAAGTAAAAGCTCGAAGCTGGAGCAATAGCACAGCAGGTGGGGCGTTTTGCACACAGCCTCAAACCCATGCCGGGTTTGATTCCCAGCATCCTATATGGTCTCCCGAACACCACCAGGAGTGATTCCTGAGTGCATGAGCCAGAAGTAACCCCTGTGCATCACTGGGGTGTGACCCAAAAAAGCAAAAAAAATAAAATTAAAAAAATAAAAGCTCAACAGGCTGAATGCATCAGGCAGGAGGTCTGGGTTTGATCCCTGGCACCGCGTGGTCCCTGAGCACTGCTGGGAGTGATTCCCAGCATTAAGCCACGAGTAGCCCTCAGCAGCATCAGAAGTGGCCCTAAAACACAATGAAACAAAACAAGCGTGCCTGGATGCGGCTCCGTGATGGAGTGCAGACTGCACTTGTCAGAGGCCCTGGGTTCGATCCCTAGCATTGAAGGACTGGGAGGCATGCGGGGGTGGGGGCGGGGGGAGATTTTCTGGAGAAAGGAAGGAAAGAAATGCACACTGGGGAGAGCAAGTGGGCGCCAGGAAGGTGCTGAGACCCGGCTTTCCCCGGAGGAGGCCCCAGGGACCCAAGGCCGCCCGCCCCCCACTCCCCGCAGGCCCACGAGGACTCGGAGAAGCTGCGGGAGATCGTGCTGCCCATGGAGCAGGAGATCGCAGAGCTGAAGGGGAAGCTGCTGCGGGCCGAGGAGCTGATTCAGGAGATCCAGGTAAACGGGCGGCTGAGGGGGCGCCGGGAGGGGGCAGGGGCGCCCTGGACCCTGGCCCCCCAGCCTCTCCCCTGCCCCGCTCTCCCTAGAGACGGCCCCGGCAACCCCCCGCCCTGCACGGCTCCCCGGAGCTGCTGCCCCTGTCCCGGGACCCGTCCCCCCCGCTGGAGCCCCTGGAGGAGCTGAGTGGGGACGGGGGCGCGGCCGCCGAGGCCTTCGCCGGCAACTGCGACGACAGCGCCTCCATCTCCTCCTTCTCCCTGGGCGGCGCTGCCGGCAGCAGCGCCTCCCTGCCCAGACAGCGCCCGGGCCTGAGCCCCGAGCAGGAAGAGACGGCCTCGCTGGTGTCCACGGGGACGCTGGTCCCCGAGGGCATCTACCTGCCCCCTCCCGGGTACCAGCTCGTGCCGGACCACCAGTGGGAGCAGCTGCAGGCCGAGGTAGGCACGCGCGCTGGCGGTGTCTCACCTTCCCCCCCCCTTCCTGGGCACCCACCCTCCCAATGCTCCCCCCTGGGGTGGGAGCCAGCCCCAAACAGGTGTCTGGACACTGACTGTGCGGGACACTTGCACCTGGATGGGGGGAGAGGGGGGCAAGACACGCCCCACAGATTGGGGTCCGGAGCAGCAGCAAGTAAAATGGGGCCAGGATTCCTGGGGTGCTGGGTGGGTGCTGGGCCGGGAGGAGGCAGGTCGCCTGCTGGAGGCTCGCACGGGAGATGGACCGTCAGGGGCCACTTGCTCTGCTCCAGGACCCTCAGGTCTCTGCGAAAGATGTGGAAGGGCCTCCCAAGAGCTCCTGCTGGCTAGCTGAGAGCATAGAAGTGGTGACAGGGAGCCAGTGCGATAGGCCAGTGGGGAGGGCACTTGCCTTGCACGCGACCCACCTGGGTTCCATCCCCGGCATCGCATATGGTGCCCTGAGTCTAAGTGCAGAGCCAGGGGGCTGGAGCAATGGCACAGTGGGTGGGGCGTTTGCCTTGCACGCGGCCGACCCGGGTTCGATTCCCAGCCAGGAGTAATTCCTGCATGCAGAGCCAGGAGTAACCCCTGTGCATCATTGACGGTGTGACCCCCAAAAGCAAAAACAAACAAACAAGTGCAGAGCCTGGAGTAAATCTGGAACACGGCTAAGCATGGCCCCAAAACAAACCAAAGAACTAGTAGTGAACTGGGAGGAGGCCGAGCTGGAGAGGGGGGGTGAATGTGGAGCTCACTCTGAAAGGGTCTGGCCCCGGGGACGCCGCGCTGAGCCGGGCTCTGTGGCAGGGGCGGCAGCTGCAGAAGGAGCTGGAGAGCCTCGGTCACGAGCGGGACGAGCTGCAGGAGGGCCTGAGACGCAGCAACGAGGACTGCGCCAAGCAGGTGGGCGGCTGCCCGGGGGCGCTGCACCCTGGCCGGGGCCCGCCTCACCCTGCGGCCCCTCCCCCCACAGATGCAGGTGCTCCTGGCCCAGGTCCAGACCTCGGAGCAGCTGCTGAGGACCCTGCAGGGCACCGTGAGCCAGGCCCAGGAGCGGGTCCAGCTGCAGATGGTGAGGCCTCACCAGGCGGGGTAGAGGGCGGGGATGGCGGGCGCTGGGTGAGGGGGGCACTTGGGGGGTGCCTGCCCTCTCGCCACTCGGGCATCCTCCTGGAGTTGGGGCGGAGGGTCAGAGGACGTCTGGGGCAGCCGGCCCTGTGGTCAGAGCATGGGTGCTGGGCCCTGGCCGCCAGCTTGGAACCCTGCAGCCTTGACATGGAGGAGGCCCTGGGGCCCAGCTTGTCATCAAAGGGGGCTGGACTGCATGTTCCAGCAACCCCTGAGCACTGAGCTGGGAGGAGCTCTTGAGCACTGCCGGTGTGGCCCCCAAGCCCAAACGGGGACCTTACCACAGGGTCTGCTCCCTCTGCACTATGGAGTGCGGCCGTGGGAATGTCACGTTTGGTCCGAGAAACCCAATCTCTCTATAGTGTCCCAATTATTAAAGTTGGTCACAAGGGTGTGGCCAGTGGCTGGGAGGTAGAGCATCAGTCCTACCTGTGTGCGGTCCAAAGCTCGATCCCCAGCTCCACCAAAATTTAAAAAATCAATACAGGCCGGAGCGATAGTACAGCGGGGAGGGCGTTTGCCTTGTGCACCGGCGACCTGGGTTCGAGCCCCATCATCACATACGGTCACCCGAGCACCAGGAGTGATTCCTAAGCACAGAGCCAGATGTAACCCCTGAGCATCGCCTGGTGTGATCCAACAAAATAATAAATAAAAAAATTAAAATAGAGGCCAGAGCCATAGCACATCGGGTAGGGTGTTGAACTTGGGTTCGATCCCCGGCATCCTATATGGTTCCCCCAGCACCGCCAGGAGGAATTCCTGAGTGCAGAGCCACAAGGAACCCCCGAGCATCGCTGGGTGTGACCCAAAAAGAAAAAAAAATTTTAAATAAAATATCGATACAGATAAAATGAGGGTGGGCAGGGAGACGGCACAGGAGGTCAAGCTTAGCTGCCTGCAGCAGACTCTGGATTTCCTCCCTGGCGCTGCGTAGAGACCCAGCACTGCCAGGGGGCCTCTGAGTAGAGAGCCAGGGGGAGCCCCAGAACATCAGCAGGTGTGGCCCAAAACTCCAAAATTTCTTAAGATTTTAAAAATGTAAGTTGGCAAATACAAGCTGAAGCTACAAGTCCAAGCCTGGTGGACTAATGGAGCCACTGGTGTCACCCGTAGCTGCCGTGTGGTCCCGAGGGAGGTGTGAGAGGGGCTGACCACGTGGGATCCTGTCCTCAGGCCCCTGTCTGGGTGGGTGGGGCTGAGGCTTCAGGAGCCTCAGGGGGCCAGGAGTCACCCAGGGCCCTCACGGCCACCCCATTGCCCACCCCAGGCAGAGCTGGCCACATCCCACAAGTGCCTGAGCCAGGAGGTGAAGCGGCTGACGGAGGAGAACCAGGGGCTCCGGGCCGAGCAGCCGCCACCCCTTGGCCCTCCCCGGCTGGAGCAGGACGAGGGCCCCGAGACCACCCTGCCCAGCACGGTGCAGGTAAGCGGGGAGCGCCCGGCTCTGGCCTCTCTGGGGACAGGCCCAGGCTGCCGGGGTCACCTTGGTCACTGGACTTTTCTGAGGCTCTCTTTTTCCCATGTCCTGGTGCTGGCATGAGGCAGCACCAACAAGCTAGGTGAACTCTCAAGGAGAAGGAAGTGTTGGTCGGTTCCTTGTGTGTGGTTTTGCTTTTGTTTGGGGGTTGGGTCCACACCTGGAAGTGCTCTGGGTCACTCCTGGTGGGTTTCGTGGTCCCTATGGGTGCTGGGGGTCAAACTGAGGTTCAGCCCTGGGCAAGGCAAGTGCCCTGCCCATTGCGTTGTCTCTCTGCCCTCTCCCCCTTTTGTTTTTTTGGTTTGGGGGCCACACCTGACAATGCTCAGGGGTCATCTCTGGCTCTGCACTCAGGAATCACTCCTAGTATGTTGTTTTGCTTTTGTTTGGGGTTTGGGTCCACAAAAGGAACCAGGCGGGGTGCCGGCCGTCAAACCCGGGTGGGCCACTTGCCAGGCAAGCGCCCTACCCACTGCACTATCTCTGCAGATCCAGTTTTTTTTTTTTTTGGTACCAGAGAGCAAACCCAGGCCTTCCTGCATGCAAGGCATTGAGTTCTCCCACTGAGCTACTCATTTTGTTTTACAGGGGCCACCCCCAGTGGTACTCAGGGTGGTGCTGGGTTTGGAACTCAGAACTGAGTGTGCCCCTTGAGCTGGCCCCAGCCCCCAGCTCGAACTGGCGTGACATGAAGCCCCCCAAATCATCTTCATTCTAGCGCTGGTGTGAGAGAGGCATTCCTCCCTCCTCAGGCCCGTGTGCACGCCCCCTCACACTCTCCACCAGGGGCGGGCATTCCCGACCCTGCCAACGTCCTGGCCCACACCTGCATCAGCCCCAGGGGCGCTGTCTGGGCTGGATTCTGAGCTCCATCGTGGCTCTGGCCCCGCCCCGAAGGTCCCCGCAGTGGGGGCTGTGGCAGGGCGGCCCGGGTGGGGTTCCAGCTCCTCTGCCCACCCTGCCTGGCCTCCTCGCAGGAGCTGCAGGAGCTGGTGCGCAGGACCTGGCAGGAGGTGCGGGCCCAGAGGCAGGCTGCTGAGCACGAGGCCGAGCGCCTGCGGATCGAGATTGTGACCCTGCGGGATGCCCTGAACGAGGAGACGGCGGCCCGAGCCAGCCTGGAGGGGCAGCTGCGGGGCCAGCGGGAGGAGACAGGTGAGGGGGGAGGGGCCTGGGCGCGGGGGGGGGGGGGGTCATGTGGGGGGGTCCTGCCGCAGCTCCTGACCTCTCTCTCCTTCCTCCCCACAGAGGTGCTGGAGGGTGAGTTCAACGGAGGCGCAGGGACGTTGCAGGGCAGCGGGTGGCTCAGGACAGCAGGGGCGGGCCTGACTCTCGCCCTGCTGACCCCCACCCCCAGCCTCCCTGTGCAGCCTGAGGACGGAGATGGAGCGTGTCCAGCAGGAGCAGAGCAAGGTGAGGCCACGCGTGGGCCGACCCCGGTGGGGAGCCGCACACGGAGGCCAGATGCTGATAGCCGCCCCCCCCCTTCTGTGTCCCTCCGCCAGGCCAGGCAGCAGGAAGTGCGCCCTGAAGAGGTCAGAGGGGGGCCGGGTGGGCGGGATGGCCGCAGCCCGACACCCCCTGCTCTGCTCCCGCTCCCCGCTTGGCTCCCACTCCCCGCCCCATGCCAGGCCCCAGCCCCGCATCCTGCCCCCACAGGCCCAGCTCGCAGACCTGCTCGCGGAGCAGAGGGCCAAGGTGCTGCGGCTGCAGGCCGAGCTGGAAACCAGCGAGCAGGTGCAGAGGGACTTCGTGCGCCTGTCTCAGGCCCTGCAGGTACTGCGGGGACAGGCCGGGCCGGGTCGGGGCTCACCGCACATGCCTCAGGGCCCCCCAGAGCGTCCTTCTCACTGGGCACTTCCGCACATTGGTCCTCTTTATTCTTTTCTAATCTTTTTGGCTTTGGGGCCACACCTGGCAGTGCTCAGGGCTTACTCCTGGCTCTGCGCTCAGGAATCTCTCCTGGTGGGCTCAGGGGACCAGATGGGAGCCAGGGATCAAACCTGGGTCATCTGTGAGCAAGGCAAGTGCCCTCCCTGGTGGACCATGGCGCTGGACCCCCAGCCAGTCCTTCTTTTTTTGTTTTGGGTTTTTGGGCCATGCCTAGCAGTGCTCAGGGATCACTCCTGGCAGTGCTCAGGAGACATGAAGTACCAGGGATTGAACCTGGGTTGACTGTGTGCAGGGCAAATGCCCTTGCCCGCTGTGCTCTCGCTCCAGCCCCAACAGAAGGGCCTGTGGTGTCGGCCTTTGCTGAGCTTGCAAAGTCCATGGAGGTGCAGTGACCTCTGCCTTGACCCCAGGCCCCTTGCGTCCTCCTTTCTTAGGACCTGTTTCTGCCCTTTGTTTTGGGTTTTGGTGTTCGGGAGGTGGGTGACCACACCCTGTGCCCCGGTGCTGTGGGCACTCCACTGAGGCTGGGAATGGGCCTCCAGCACTGGCCCTGAGCCCTCCGCTCTCCATACGGGCCCCCAGGTGCGCCTGGAACGGATCCGCCAGGCAGAGACTCTGGAGCAAGTACAGAGCATCATGGACGAAGCACCTCTGCGCGATGTCAGGGACATCAAGGACCCCTGAGGGCAGGGCGCGAGCCCATCCAGCCCCGGGGTGGGGGGACTGTTTTTCTCCACTTCACCCTGGGAGACGCGGCTTCAGGGGTGCAGGCCTCAGCCTGGGTTCTGCCCCTTCTTGGGGCCGGGGGATGAGGTGAGCAGGCCGCAGCTGCCGTGTCCCGCCTGGGCCTCCTCCCTGGATGGCCGAGCCTTCTGCTTCCCAGGTGGAGGGTGAAGGTGACACCGGGGCGAGGGTCCCCACCCCCTCCCGGAACCAGTGCCAGCTTAGCCTTGGGCCACCTGCCGCCAGCCCCTCGGACGCAGCGTGTGGGGCCGGGCGGGCTGCTGCTTCCTGGACGGCGCGACACTAAGGCTTATCCCCACACGTGCACAGAGGCGAGGCCAGACTTTCCTGTCATTTATTTTCAATAAATAAGCATCTCAGCTCAACAGTCGCCTGTGCCTGCAAGCCCCATGGGGTTGGGGGCAGGGAGGGGGTTCTAAGAGGCCAGGGAGGGGTGCGCTGGGAGAGGGGGGTGGGGGTGTATAAACAGAAGAACGTCGGGAGTGGAGGGACGGGATCTGGGCCACAGTTTGGCTGAAGGGCAGAAGGACTGCTCACTTCCTTCTCTCGTCTTCTGGATCTGCAAGGAGGAAGGGGGTGAGGCGGGGCCGCGCAGAGGGCAGGCAGAGTGCCCGGCTGCTGTCCCCCGCAGCAGCACCCCCATACTCACCTGGCGCCCAGCCCACCCAGCCCCGTGTGGCAACCCAGCCCCGGCAGACAGCGCAGCGCAACGCAGCGCACCCAGAGGAGCCAGCGGCGGGGGCAAGCGCGGGCGACCCCGGGCGCGGGGACAGGGCGGGCAGGCGCAGCAGCAGGGGCGCAGGGCGCGGGGCGCGATACCTGTGACTCGGTGAAAGAGGTGGAGGAGGGGGAAACAGTTACCCTGTGCCAGAGAGGACAGAGAGAGCCGTTACCCAGGACAGGCCCGGCCCGTGCACCCGGGCCAGGCTGGGGGAGGCTGCCGGGGGCCTGAGGGCACCCCTACCTGCAAAGAAAGGGGCAGGCGCCTGCCTTCGCAGCGCGGGAACGGGGCTGTCCCAGCCCAGGGGCCGGGGGCAGGGGAGGGGCGCGGCTTACCCTCAAGATAGTTCCGGGCAATGAACTTGAGGAGTTCGTCCAGCCCGATGACTGGCAAGGAGATCTTGAGAACCATGATCCACTGGTTCATGTCCAGGGCCCGGAGCTTGAAGATCATCTGGGAGGGACAGGCAGGGGCGGTGAGGCCCCGGCTCTGTCCCCACCTGTCTCCACCTGCGCCCAGGCTCCCAGGGGGTTCCCCCCTGCTGGAAGGAGACTCACGGGCAGAGGGTCGACGTAGAGGATGAGGAAGTGAAGGGACATGGAGAGGCAGATGGAGCCCAGCAGCCAGATGTTCACCCAGGGTGGCATCCTCATGAGGGACTGGTTCTCTGACAGGCTGCGGGGTGGGGGGGAACACGGGCAGCAATGCCTCAGCATGCAAAGGGGTTGGGGGGGGCGTGTGGAGGTCATGCGTCTGTGTGCGAGTGTACGTGAGGCATGTTGAGGTGCAGAGGTGCATCTGCAGGCACATACGGGCAGGTGTACACGTACATGCATGAATAGGTGTTCGTGGAAGTAGGCAGTGCACATGGGTAAGTACATGTGTGTGTTATGTGGGACACATGTATATCTGTCATGCATGTATATGAAGGTCACATATGAGTACTCACAGTACGTGTGTAGGTGTACTGTGTATACAGTGTTCCACGTACAGATGTATACTGCATAGGTGTATGTGAACGTGTGCACACATACTGTATGTATACAGGTATACGTGTGTGCACATATGTGTACATATATGTTGGTGCGTATGTGTACATGACCTTGCGCATGTCATGTGTTGCATATACTTGTGTACATGTGTGCACTGAATGTGGGTGTGCATACAGCACATGTGTGTGCATGTGTAGGTGTGTGTGTGTGTGCAGTGTGGGCATGTGGACATGTGTGTGCGTGGACATATGTGGGGGGACACGCAGACCCACCTGTTGAGAGCATTGCACATCTCAATGGTGACCAGTACAGACAAGGCCATCGTCATGGGCTCAGGGGCCTCAAAGATCTCACAGTCCAGACCCTCGAATTCGGGGTTTTCCTCGTTGCACTGCATGAAGTGAGTCTGCGGGGAAGGGAGAGGAAATGGGGTCCCGAGCAGCCCCCGCCCTACCCTGCTGCCCCTTCTCCCACTCCTCCGTGCTCCCTACCAGCAGCCCCCGCCCTACCCTGCTGCCCCTTCTCCCACTCCTCCGTGCTCCCTACCAGCAGCCCCCGCCCTACCCTGCTGCCCCTTCTCCCACTCCTCCGTGATCCCTACCAGCTGGTTGTAGGAGACGTGTGGCCCATCCTCGGCGTACAAGAACCACCAGGCGGCTGCCCCGACTGTGGCTGCCCCCACATAGCCTGGGGACACAAGCAGAAGTTGGTGTCAGGAACGGGAGGAGCCTCAGGGACCCACTGGGCAAGAGGCCTGGGGGTGGCCAGAGGGGGCAGGAGGCGCGTGGGGGGAGCCTTCTGGAGGGGTTGCCAGGGCCCACTCTGCTCACCCCCAATGGCCATGTAGCGGAAGAAGAGCCAGCCACTGATGAGGGGCTCCTTGGGGCTCCGGGGGGGGCGGTCCATGATGTCCAGGTCGGGGGGGTTGAAGCCCAGGGCTGTGGCCGGGAGCCCATCGGTCACCAGGTTCACCCACAGCAGCTGCACTGGGATCAGGGCCTCGGGCAGCCCCAGGGCGGCTGTCAGGAAGATGCTGCGGGAAGGAGGTGGTCACGCCCCAGGCGTGTGACACACCCCCGCCCTCCTGCACCCTACACCCCAGCCTCCCCTACCCGTGTGCCACACCCTTGTCCTCCTGCCCCACCCCCACCCCCTGCATCCCATCCCGCTGCTCACCACACCACCTCGCCCACGTTGGAGGAGATGAGGTAGCGGATGAACTGCTTCATGTTGTTGTAGATGGCGCGGCCCTCCTCCACGGCCGCCACGATGGTGGAGAAATTGTCGTCTGCCAGCACCATCTCAGAGGCCGTCTTGGCCACGGCGGTGCCCGAGCCCATGGCAATGCCGATCTCGGCCTTCTTCAGGGCGGGGGCATCATTGACGCCGTCTCCGGTCTGGGTGGAGGGTGTGGGTCAGTGCAGGGACCGGCCCCTCACGGGGTGGCCCCAGGTGTGACCCCGGGGGGCTCCTGATGACCGCAGGGGGAGGGACAGGAAGAAGCCCCCCACGCGTGCATGCCCAGCGCCCCTACCATGGCCGTGATCTCGTCGAAGGACTGCAGGAACTCCACGATCTTGGACTTGTGCGAGGGCTCCACGCGGGCGAAGCAGCAGGCGCGGCGGCAGGCGTCCCGCTGCTCCCCCAGGGGCAGGTCGTCGAACTCACGGCCCGTGTAGGCACGGTCTGTCACCTCCTCGTTCTCCCCGAAGATGCCAATGCGCCGGCAGATGGCGATGGCCGTGCCCTTGTTGTCTCCGGTGATCATGATCACCCGGATGCCGGCGTCGCGGCACAGCTGGATGGAGCCGGTCACCTCTTTGCGGGGCGGGTCCAGCATCCCCACCACGCCCACGAAGGTCAGGTCCGTCTGCAGGGGCAGGGCGGGCAGCAGGTCACAGACAGAGTCGATACCGCGGGGCTCTGAAGCAAGGGACTTGGGGCGGGGGGCTGAGCTGGCGCTGAAAGCTCTGCAGGACAGGGGACTTCAGGGAGGGGATGGGGGTCTCACACCATCTGAGGGGCAGAGGGACCCTTCCAGAACTCCAGCAGAAGTTAGGAAGCTGTTGTCTGCTCTTAGGGGCCACTTGCTCTACAACTGAGCAAACCTACATTACCTCTGGGGTGACTCCCTCTGGGAGATGGAGGGACAAGGGTTCATGCAGAGTGGCGCCCTCTGAGAGATGGGGGGACATGGTCCGTGCGGGGTGATGCCCTCTGGGGACCCTGAGTGCTGGTCACTCCCAGTGAGGGGCAGTTGCTACACTGCCCCCCACACTGACGCACCAGGTGACCCCCCACCAGAATGAGCCCAGGGAGCTGGACGGTGGCTCCTCAGCTAAACCCGTCACTCCACGGTCCAGCCCTGGTGACCGTCACATGCAAAGTAACACTGGGCCAGCGGGGGCCGCATCCTGAGGCTACGGTCACCCACCTCGTACTCCATGAAGCGGGCAGAGTCATCCAGAATCAGCTCCTCACGCTTTGGGGGGGTGTCCCGAGTGGCAAGGGCCAGACAGCGCAGAGTGTCGCGGCCGGTCCCCCACTCCTTGATCACAGACATGATCTTGTCCTTTGCAGGCCCCGTCATGGGCACACGGGTGGTGCCGACCCTCACGTAGTTGCAGCGGTCAATGACCCCCTCGGGGGCACCCTAGGAAGCAGAGGCGCCATCAGAGCACTGCCACGGCAGGGAGAGATGGGCTTGGGGACAGGGAGCACCGCTTTTTTTTTCTTTTTGGGTGACACCCGGCGATGCACAGGGGTTACTCCTGGCTCTGCACTCAGGAATCACTCCTGGCGGTGCTCAGGGGACCATATGGGAGGCTGGGAATCGAACCCGGGTCGGCCATGTGCAAGGCAAATGCCCTACCCACTGTGCTATCGCTCCAGCCCTGGAGCACCGCTTTCTGACCTTGACAAACATCTTGTTGCCCACAACGGTCCGGGAGGACTTGGCAGGGGAGCAGTAGACAGACATGGATTTGCGGTCACGGGAAAACTCCAGGGTGAATTCCTTCTTCATCAGCTGGCGGATCACCTGGGGGGACACGGCAGCATCTCAGACCCTATCCTGTCCAGCAGAGTTCCCGAGGCTCAGAGCAGCCCAGTGCAAGGCAGAAACAGCCCAGCCTGGCCCCACAGCTGTGGCCACTGCTGCTTCAGCCTCCTTGGGTCCCGCGTCCCAGAGGGCTGGGGAGGTCCTCAGGGGGCAGAGCACGGGGCTTACACACAGAAGCCCTGGATTTGAACATGCCGCATGGAGCCCTGAGCCCTGCTGGGAGCGCACTCCCCAGCACTGAGGACTGACCCCTTCAAGTATCGCTGGATGTGGGCTAAGACCCCCCCCCCCTAACAACTCACAACTCGGTCCCATAAATAAAGCAGGGGTGAGGCGCTTTCCTCTCCACTAGAGGGCACCAAGGCTCGCTCCCTCTCCACTGCAGAAGGTTTGTGCTCTTGGCCGCTTCCTCCCCCCTCATATTCCCTGAATAAAAACGTCCCACTTCACAGAAA